ACTATATATATATATATTTTTTTTAAATTTAAAATTGAAAAAACCCTTTAAAATAATAAAATATATTCCTTATATACAAATTATAGGTATATATATATATATATATATATATATATATATGTTGATGTAAAATATATGTATCTCCTAAATATAATAAAATTTTGTAATAAGTATTTTAAATACTTTAAAGGGCATTGTTAAGCTACAAGTAATTAAAATATGTAATATTTAAAAATATATATATATATGTAGAAAAATCGAATTATTCAAGCTTTTATTTTTATTTTTAAGATAATTATATATACATATATATATATATAATATAAAATATTAATTTTAATTGATAGTTTATTGATTATATATATTTTATTTTATTTAAAAATAAAAATAAAAAATATATAAATTTTAAAACTAAAAACTAAATTTATTTCAAATCTAAAAGAAAATATGTATAATTTTACAGCTATCTAAGAAGATAAAGTTTTTTTTTTTTTTTTTTTTTTTTTAATTTTTATAACTTCAGAAATTAGATGGATTGAATGGTGTATGTTTGCAATGTAAATGATATGGATATATTTACTCTCATAAAATAAAGAATAATAAGTAAATTATTGTAAGATTTATTCATGGAATATATTTTTAATTTGAATAAACGTTCTTGTTTATAAATCAGAGCTAGAATTTGAATCTTTCATATACACCCCAATAAAATTCATGAATACGAATTTATTTAAGATTCATATACAAAATCATGAATGTAATCATATAAATATATATATAATTTAAATATAAATTTTAATTTTTTTTTTAGTTTTATGTTTAACTATATTGCTATTAAAAAAGTATAATCTAATACCGTGGATTTTTTTTAAATATTTTATTTAAAAAATACACATTGGTTTTTTTAATTAAATAATAAAATTTTAAAAGTAATTTTTTTCGAATAATAATCTTCAAGAAAATATACACAATTAAAGTATTAGAAGCATGATAGAAGTAGTTATATTTTAAACGTTTAAAATAAAAAGAAAGTCTGAAGAAAATAGATAGTATTTTATCAAAAAATATATTTAAACAAAATTTTGAATATTATAGTTTTTAATTAAAAATAAAAAAATACATATATATATATATATATATATATATGGACCAAATTTTTTTATTATTTTGTATTTTATTATTGTAAATGCTTTACAAAGAGTGTTTGTTTATTCTACCTATATTCATATAGGTTATTAATGGCATTGGGATATGTAAAAAGATTTAGATTGTATAAATGTATTTAAGAAGTAAGAATCAAAGGAGCATAAATAATTCTTTAAACAGATTAAAATGGTAACATAGTATATTTTCTAATATTTATGTATTTTAATATGAAGAAAATAAGATATTGCTAATGTCACAATAATATTTTCTACTACAACTTGCCACCTACTTAATATACATTTTTTACTTTTTATAAAATATTAAACATTAAATACATATATAGTTTTATTTTTTATTTTTTATTTTATTTTTTTTCTACTTTACTGCACATTTGAAAATTGTGCATGGCCTTAGTACTAGAAATCCTAGCCATGTCCATGCTCACTATCTTGTCCCTATTCTTAGCCCATGTCTTGACCTTCTCATCTTTCTAACTTCACCATCACAAATATGGAGATATAACTACATAGATGCTTTTAGCTTTGCCATCACAAACAAAAAAATATCAATTCTATTATATATAAAGATAAGTATATTTTAATTTAAAATTTTAATAATTTAAAAAAAATATTTAAATCTTTAATAAAAATAAGTATTTTTTAACTTTTAAATACTAAAAATTAAATGTATTTGAAATTTGCGCATTGACACCATTGTAAATTGCGGTTTAAGGTTCAAAGTGTTTGATTGCTTGGAGCTTTAATAATTTGGTAACATGAATGCAAGATCCAGTAATTTTAAAGATGGATGCACATGTTCTCCTCCATTTCAGTTCAGAGTATTGTAACCAATTCATGCAAACCTTTATTGTAATTCTGCTCTCTTTTCTATGTTACTTGCACCTACAATAAATGCCTTGAGTGTCTTCCAACAGTTTTTTATAGCTCAATCAATTGTAGACAAAATGCAATATGGTTAAAAATAGAATTATACATTTGTTTTCATAGCAGCATTTTTATAAAAAAAATTCAGCCAATGATAAAGCTTCTTTATATCTTTATCTTACACCTAAAATATTTTATTATATAGATTTTTTAAATCTCATATATTTTTATATTTAATTTATAATCTTAATTTTATTCTTAATTATATTTACAAAAGGTATATTTTTGTTTAATTTTAAGTAAAAAAAACTACAAAGTTGTATATTTTACAAGATACTTACAACTTTTAAGCACTATAATATTGTCAACTTTGCAAGATAGGTATCTAGTTTGCACTTTGACCTTTTTACTTCATCCATCAATCAACTATATGTGTGTACAAACATAGATGTGAAGTGGCTCTATCAAATTTTGTAAGTAATTTAATGACTGACAACCAATTGTTGGGAGTCCATAAACTATTGGTAAGAAGGGTGTTGGATTAGCACTTTGAATATTTATTAAAAAGAAAAGAAAAAGAAAAACCATTCATGAGCAATTAGACGAGGTTTAGAATTTATCAAAATGTTCTGTTATTGGTAGCTATTTGAATTTTCCATTCATCAAGTATGAGGTACTAGTTGGGTATGTTTTCTGTTATGGCCAAATATTCCAATCACAGCTGCAATATATTACCAACTTACTTTTATCATTGAGTTTGTGATGCATTGTAATTAATGGATTGGAGCAAACAACAGAATTTCAACATTTGATACATCAAAATAATATTGCAAACCTAAGGAGGAAAATTTTTATGTTTTCTTGATTCAATGCTATTCTCAAAACATATGATGGAAGGATTTGAGCTATAACACATTTTATCACATTATTACACCTCCTTAGGAAATAAAAATGACTTAAATGCCACACTAACATTTCAACAACTAGAACATTAAAAAAATCATCTTTCAAAAGCTTTAAAGAATGAGATCAAGCACAGAAAAATACAGAAAACCAAACAAATGTGTTTCACATGCAATCAGCCAAAGGGAGGCCAGAAAATCATGAAGCTGAAAATTGTCTTTGGTGATTGTACATGCAGAGAGACACATATACATTAACTCTATAAATATTATTTGACTTGATTTTTTAAAAGGTTGTAGGTGTGGGTCTTGTAGCATGAATACCTTGCAAAGGACTTGCTCCCCTCCAGTATTACAGGGGATTGCCACAGCAGCAACTAGAATGCAAGATTTTATTGTTTTTCACTTACATTGGGGTCATTGAATTTAATAGTCTAATTGGCATGATTGAGTAAAAGGGTCCTGTGGTAGGAGTCCTATGGCAAAGAGGGCCCCAAATATCCTCTGCTTGGCCTTATTCTCAGATCACATGCTTAGCACTGAATGAACCAAAATGCCTTGCCTCTTGCCCATGAGACAGCAGGCTTATCTCCTCCCCATCCTCCTGTCTTACATGGCCCGCCCATTCAATAATCATATTGGCCCCAACTCAAACCTGGTCACCATATTCAAATTTTGCCCCTTTAAAAAAATATCAATGATCATACAACTTAAATCTTGTCATTGTACACTGAAAAAAAATAGGTTTGTTTGTTTGTTTGTTCCATGCTGAACTTTTCAATTGTCTCCTGATCCGTTTTGACATGCATCTGTGCCCTTTGAAATACAAGGTTATTAGGTCACTTATCTCCACCTCCCACGCTTGGTCCAACACATTATTTCCCCAGGGTAAGATAATTGGAGCTTGTTTTGTCATGGTTCCAGAAAGGAAACATTCAAACTGACAAAGCTTCAAGCTACACATTGTATGCAATTTTTTATTGAATCTCTTTTGAAGTAATAGGTGAATTGTTCCAAGCCTACTTGGCCTATGTCTCTATCCCAAAGATAAACCTCAGGCAACAAAAGTCTTGGACTGCTTAAAAGCAGGAATGTGTGTCAAGTTTTTGCCATATTCTGTGCCTATTATGATCTCATTCACATTACCCCTTGACATGGCTTGGAGTTTAAATTTTTATTTTAACAAGAGTGATACATGTGAAAAGTACTTCATCCAGAAGCTTCCTGCAATACTCACCTCTAACAATTCTCAATTCTCAATTCTCAAATCTCAACTTTCAATCCAATCCACCAGAAAAAGCCAACTCTGTACAACTGGCATGTTTGTTTGCTGGAACTTGAGTTCCACGAAATTGCTCAATAATCCACAAAAATGAAGCTCAGTGCAAAGTAGGATTTTAGTGAGATCTGTTACTGTATTTTGTTGCTCTTATGTCTGCTCATGATTTAAGGACATTAGGACAAAAGTAGCTGTGTTTGTACATCTTAAGCTTTAATCAAAGCATCTGATAAACACCATTTTGTGTCAAAGAACAGAAGAAGAAGAAGAAGAAGAAAAGAACAACCCTCCAAGTGTTGCATAACAAATGGAATCCTTCTTGCTTAGAAAATCAACACTTATGAAGTTCTTCCTTTCAATGTATTGACGTATGTACGACAACCACCCAAATTCGCACATACGACAACCGTACAATACACCGAAATTTACTCATCCATCCGGCGACAGAGGAAAAGGAGACCACCGTCGGAGAGCTAATAACTGAAGCTTTGGGCCTCATCAATGCGAATAACGATTTGAATCGAGTCGGTAAGTCATTCATTAGAAGGCCATCCATTCGCGGAAACCTTGGAAAGGCTAGACGTCGTCCATCGTCATCCATCAGCATTCGTCACTGATGCGGGCTCTATGTGGAATAGCGCGAAAGCGTCACATTCAAGATACACGTGGACCAGGATTTTCGGCTCACCCTTGACGCTCCCGCCAAACCCTAACATCTCCCGCCATGCCTCTGGAGGGCTCTACTATAAAAGATCGCCTTCGTGCCGGGAACAATCCTTGCCGGGAAAACCTGCCTGGACCAGTTTACCTGTGGTCCAGCTGATCTTACCCGTCGGACAGACAATCGTAATATGACCATTTGTGAGAAATCGGGTCGGGTTACCGGTCAATTCGGTCAATCCGGTCGCCTATGCCCCCTCCCCCCTGACGCGGGGGCTGGGGTAGCCGTTGCACAAAACCATCATTCCCCTTGGAGCCATGGAACTTGTTGCAGCTCGGTGCTGCATTTCGCTTCCTTCCTTCACCGAGAACTCCTGCTCTCCTAATCCTCTTCAGAGCATTCCACACTGTCGCTGTAGCCGCTTGTGCACACTACCTTTCATCGCTTGCTATTCGCACACTCATCTTGTCGGTGGAGTTTCTTTGATTCTGTCATTGATGATTGTGCTCTTTTTTGTCTCGGTGGGTGGGTTGTCAGCGGGGTGGGAAGCTGAGTGAACGGAGCCTTTTTCTGGCTTTCTTTTGGGAATCGGTGTAAGAATTCTGTGGCGAGAGCTTCGAGAATGAGTTGTTAATTGGGAGGGTTGGGTTTTCGTTGTCTGTTCTGAATGGCTAGTTTCGATTGCGTGGTTTGAGTGAGTTAATGGGGTAATGAGAGACTTGGGTGATGATTGCAGGCGAGTTGAGGTTATGGGAATTTCGTTGGTGGTTTTGGTGGTGAGGTTTGGATGATCGGAGGTGGTGTGAATGAAGCTCATGTTGGTTGGGAGTGGTGAGCACTTTGTAAGTTTTTTGGGGTTTTCAGTGGATGGTGGGTGTCGCTGAAAAAGTGTACAGCATCTGGAAAGGCTCGAAAGTTCAAAAGAGAACCTCTCTGTTTGGGCAGTCGTCTTTGATTTGACACGGAAGTTGCAGCACTGGATTTCTCTAGGAGAAGAGGCAGTGCTTAGCATCCCTCCAGCCTCGCTTGGTTGGGTCAATTCGTCGAGGAGTGGTATCGAGTGGATGTGGCAGTGCGCACTTCCTGTAAATCTAGCTTACCACGTGTGAATTGTGAAAGTGTCGTGCTATCATGGTTCAATACTTTGCCTTAAAGCGTACAACCGCTGTCACATGGTTGTATAGGTAGGTAGAGGTGAGAATGAGATGGAATGCCTGAGGAAAGGGCTTGAAATTTTTTGACACATGTTGTACATTATTACATTGAAGGCACCTGAAATTGGTGAAATTGGGATGACTTTCATTTTCCGCTGTACAATCCCCGTTGAGGTATGCATTTACACGAAAAGAGTTGGATGTGCTGAAGTGCACACCAAGCATTTGTAGATGACATTGGCGCGGATGTGATTTCGCATCAAGAATCAGTCGTAACCTAGTCAGTTGTAGTCTACAGGGGACGATTGAAACGAAACAGAAGCCATAGAATGGATCACCCAATGGACGGATCAGGAGACAGTGAGAATGGGTTTCAGAGTAGGATTGCACGGTCTCTGAACCTACCCTTTGGCATGTCGCGAGATGCATTGCATCTCGATACAATTGCCAGGCGATCATGGCAGGGGTTGGAGTCCCCGATGGACATGGCAGGCACAGTCAATATCCCATCACCCGCGAGGACTTCATACAGCGATAGGTTTATTCCAAGCCGATCGAGCTCCAACTTGACAGGATTTGCTCTATTGGATCGGTCTCCTTCTGGGGCCAACATCGCGCAATCGAATGATTACAGAGAGGATGGTTTTGCAGCCTATTCAATGCTGTTGCGGTCAGAGCTTCTTGGGCAAGAAACTAGTTTACCAGCTACGCCGGAGAAACCCATGGGGATTGGCAGCAGAGATCAGATGCGGTCGCCGATCAGCCCGACCAGTCGGAATCTTTTCAGATTCAAGAGTGACGTCAAAGGCAATTTGGGGCTAAATGGTCGGTCAGAGAGTCCTTACTCCCATTCTTCGGTGGGAATCAATAGTATGCTGGACAGGGCAACCGTGTCCCCTCGGAAAGCACCGAGGAGAATTGCGCGGTCGCCCTACAAGGTGTTGGATGCACCGGCGTTGCAAGACGATTTCTACCTTAATTTGGTGGATTGGTCATCGCACAATGTGCTTGCGGTCGGATTAGGCACTTGTGTGTATCTATGGAGTGCGTGCACTAGCAAGGTGACGAAGCTCTGCGATTTAGGGCCTACGGATAGCGTTTGTAGTGTAGCGTGGACCCAAAGAGGCTCATACCTCGCCGTTGGAACCAATCTGGGACAATTGCAGCTATGGGATGTCACTAGGTACAGAATGGTGCGGGCAATGAGCGGGCATCGGACGCGAGTTGGTGCGCTAGCATGGAGTTCATGTATTTTGTCATCTGGTAGCAGAGATCGAAACATCCTTCAGCGAGATGTTAGAGTGCCAGAGGATTTTGTAAGTAAACTTGAAGGGCACAAGTCTGAAGTTTGTGGACTGAAATGGTCTTGTGACGATCGCGAGCTTGCGTCTGGAGGAAATGACAACCAGCTACTTGTGTGGAATCAGCAATCCACCCAACCGGTAGTGAAATTCAGCGATCATACCGCTGCTGTGAAGGCCATTGCTTGGTCACCTCATCAACATAATTTATTAGCATCTGGGGGCGGCACTGCCGACCGGTGCATACGATTTTGGAACACTGCTACGAGCACTCCTTTGAAACATTACGACACCGGGAGTCAAGTGTGCAATTTAGCGTGGTCGAAGAATGTAAATGAGATTGTGAGTACACACGGGTATTCTGAGAATCAGATCATTGTCTGGAGACATCCAACAATGACTAAGCTTGCTACATTGACAGGACATACAACGAGGGTTTTGTACCTTGCCACTTCTCCAGATGGCCAAACGATCGTGACAGGGGCTGGCGATGAGACGTTACGGTTTTGGAATGTGTTCCCGTCTTCGAAGTCTCAAAATGCTGTCCCTGATGCGGGCGTCTGGAGTCTTGGACGAACACACATTCGGTAACTCTAATGAGGATGGTGCTGCCTACAGCTCCTAATGCTCATTTAGCCCTGGTGCTACAATGTTGATGTATTATGAAAGCGGTAAATTACACTTAGGTTACCAATTTAGGTTTAGGTCTTCCTGGTTGCAAGTTCACAATCCTTGGTGGCTGCAGGATCATTACTTTTAGCACATGATCACAACCTGATGCATGGCTGCGTTCTGTATTATTAGGCCTCCAATCTGCAGCTATGCGACCTTAATAGATAGTGTAGCTGGAGACTCCTACTCTATGATTTTCCTTTTATTACACTCGCCTCAATCAATTTAAAGAAATGCTCGCTGCGACACTATCCATGGGACGTCGGTGTACATGATTGTTCAAATGACAAATTTTTACGTCTTATTCTAGTTCCTTTTCTCTAGAGTTCTGTGATCTGATTCAATTTCCAACGTTGCATCGTTTGTTTCAATTATAGTACGTGCATAGTTTCTTCATTTGAGTTTTTTGAAGTGGAAGTCTAGTTTAGGTTGCATTATTCAGGCATAGGCCTGGTCTTCCTGGTAATCTCACTCCCCTAGCTCTAGTGTGCACCTCAACTGAGTTCGAGTTTGGTTGAAAGAAATACAACTTGTTCTGTTGCTTTAGAGACACAAATATGTGGGGGCTATGAAGAATTTAATCTCTAAATTTAAGGGATTTATAAAGGAGATGTCTCGTGCTTTCAGTGGCTAACTTGTAATGATCATTGTGAGCTTATCCTTGACCACTGATTAGATTCGACTGTCCTCTATAACAAGGTAAAATTTTAGGCCCCGACATATCTGTTAAAATCGGTTTATCAAATCTACCCAGATTAACTAGAATAACCCGCAATCTACATGTCTGGTAGAAAATCCTCGATGGACTTGTGCACATTTGCCGTAACACATCCCGACCCATTGTGCCTTGGGTCGTGCTCCGTTACTAAGTCACCCCTTACAAGAAATGTTTTGGAGATTTGATCCCATCGCAAGTCAACACCCACAAGAAGAGGAAGTCGACGCATGCAACGTCGGTAGTTGATTGTCATCGTCCAATTCTTTTCTCTGGTATCACGGCACAGTTCAGAGGATCCAAGCAAGCTATACCAATGGTTAAACGAGACTATTTCAGTGCCTCGATTGGCATGCAAGAAATGCTTTCAAACTCAACACGTTCAATTTAGGGGGTGATTTCTCCCCTTTTACTGGGTTTCGTTACAAGGTACTGCCAAGCTCCTCTAACGTTTCATTTTCTTCTTTCCACTTCCAAATGATTGTGGAAAGGTCCAACGCTGGACGACTCCAACTCGCCCGTCCTTTTCTTCGACCACTTTAACTCATCAATGTGCAGCTTCACTTGCTCAAGTTCACATAATGCTAGCTCCTGATCGAATCATCACCCATTGTCAAAAAGGGACGTGAGGGACGAAAAGCCAACTCATCCTCATGGGGCTCACAGTGTTCTACACTGTAGTTGAATATCCTCTAAGTGGGGAAGTTTTCTAAGGGTGGAAAACTTGTCTATTCTGATGATTGGATCATGTTTGCAGGAATTTCAACTGTTACGGATTCTAGACAACAAAGCAATGAATAAATGATAGAATATGCTGTTAGTGTGTAACCCACTTCCAGCTTGGCTTTCACGTGAGACTCCTTGGAGCGCTTCAGAACCAGAGCTTCGCTGTGCTTCGAGAATCACAGTTGCTTCCACCCATCTGACATCACCTGGCCTGCTCATACCATCATTGTTGATTGCCAGGATACTATCTTTTTGATAACAGACACTGTTGCAAGAAGGTCCATTCCCCGCCATGAATTATTGTTTCAGGCGACAGTTTTTTTTCAAGGATAAGAACAGTTAAAATGTTTGAGTATTGAAGATTTACATATTGTTGACAAAAGATTTGACTAAAATTTTAACTAATTATAATACAACCAGATGAAATGGTACTAATACATTTCATTGGGCTTTTTTTTTATAAAATTGTGCATTGTTTGTCCTTTAATAATAAAGAGACATCTTAAATCAACCCCACATGTCATTATTTCAATGTCATCATCATCAAATTCAATAGAAAGTACATCATTATCCAATGACAGTAATATCCTTGTGAATATTATAATTGGAAATTATATTGGTAAGGTGCAACATGTCATTGGCTTTGCAATTGGATTAATTATGGGTACTTGATTTATCAAAGATGCTTTATTAATATCTTTTGCATTGTTTGTTGCAGTGTTAGCAATGGCAATAGGACTTGACATGATAAAATGCGATGCATATATACTGTTGTGTTGTGATTTGGCTACCATGTGAAAATAATGTGATTATGTAATTATTATACAATTTACTTAGCAACATGGTGAGAGCCATGTTATTAGATTTTAGTTGGTTGTAGAGTGTGGTTAAATTACTACTTTAAAAAGAGGTTGTTTAAAGGGATTACTATTAGAATTTGTATAACTTTATTTTCTTTTGATAGTGGCTTTTGAGATTGATTTTGTTGGTAGTAACTTTAAATATTTATAGTCACCTTTATTAGACATTGATGACCCTTGAAGTCTTATTTTGGGCTTCAAGGAGGCTGCTTGAGGCCATATTAGGGATTAGGGTTAGTCTTTTGGAGGGATTCAAACATCGGAGGCTAGGGTCTCCAGATTCAGGTTTTTGGCTATGGTTTTGGTGAAAATTTTTAGTCCTTTGGAGTTTTTAAGAAGGAGATATAGGCACTCAAAGTTGAAGTGTCGATTTTGTACTTATTTTCACTCTTTTGGATATAACACACGTATACAAAAAGCAATTGAGGATCGGCAACTAGGATTGAAGAGAACAATTTTTTGGCTATACTTTACATATATTATTTGATAAATTCTAAGTTAGGATGAAGGAGATATTGGAAGTTAAAGTTAGCATTTAGAATCTAAGGAGTTGTAAGTGATCCGAATTGCTAGTAGTTGAGTTTTGAGCTATAACTTGTGCAATTTGACAAGATTTTGGCTAAAAATTTCTAGAAATGTGTATTTTATGTTATAAAACTTTATACACAAGTTTTGTGACATTTGAGTTTTAAATTTGTGAGATATGAAGAAAATAGTACTTAGGTACTTGTGAATTAGGACTTTAAAGCACCTGCTATGGTTTTTAAGATGTCAAACGATTGGTAGTGAATTTACTATTGAATTTTTGTAAGGTAAAGCTTAAGGATGAATTCTATAATATCTATATAGTTGGCAAAATCTGAACGGTTGGATCAAGAGATATGAATTTCTAAAGTTTAGGAAGAAGAAATCCTTTGAGGGAATATTATATTTTGAAGGAATTTTATTATAACTTGAGCATTTTATACAAAGTAAAGAAGTATTTTGGGAGCCAAGACTTTATATATATGTTGAAGATTGATATATGGAGCTATGGTTTATTTTTTGTATAAAGATGAGCTTTTGAGAGGAGATTGTAGATTTCCTTTGAAGTTATTAAAAACCTAATCTATCAGCAAATGGTTAGCTATGATTTGGTATAGCCAAGAATGTTTGAAAATTTCTAAATATTTTAAAAAGCCTTATATATAAATCTTCTTAAATATAAAAGGATTTATTAGTATAATATCTTTTTGATATTATAGTATTTATTTGTCTTCTACTTTTAAGGTTAAATAACTTATTGGAGCTTGGCTAATAAGTTAAAACTAAATTCTCTACAACTAGGTACCCAAGGTATTCTCAGATAGAGAACCAAATAATATGACAATGCCTTTTAGCATAACACCTAATATTCAAATCCTCATTCTAAGTTGCAATAAGAGTATTAAGGTTTCTTAGTGTAACATTGGAATGTGCAAACTTCAAAAAGAGAAATGATTTGTTGTATTAAATACAAGCTTTCTAAACCACAATAAAGACACTAAAAAGAGTTTGTGTAAAGCAGACATATTGTAATTCTCCAATAGAAATCTTAGATGGATGAATTATATGAAAAATTGATTTGTACCATATTGACTTACAATCTTATTATGTCATATGATCTTCACTACTTGTCCTTATTTTAGACTATGATATTTTGGAAGAAGATGATGTTCTTGCATTCAAAGGAGTTGTTAAAGCAATTCAATGCTTTTTTAGATCTAAGAGAAACAAAAGAAAAATATGAAACAATGAAAGTTGGTATGTACCTAATTCTTCTTTATTATGTAATATTCTAGTAAATTCTTCTTTTTTTAGAAAATAAACACCTCGTAAAATAGAATATTCATGTTACAATTATTATGGCAATTAGATATCTTAGTAATATTGTCAAGTTTAAGAATTAGTAGACAGAACTCTCAGAAGCATTCAAACACTTATACCACTATCATGTAATTTTTTATTTATTTTATTATAGGTATAGAATATAAATATTTTTTAAAAATAAATTATAATTAGAGGTGAAAATTTATATTTAATAAATTATAGATGTTATCTAATATTCTTAAATGGTCAAAAATTGATGTATATAAATTGCTGACTAAGGTTGAGTACTTATTAAGATTGCCAACTGTAAGATTATGCATTCCAATTGAGATAATTTGCAAGTCACGGGCTATTGGAGTAGTTCTTTTATAGCTGACTATATATAAAGTCTTGGAAGAATTGGCATTGATAGTCTAAGTTTAGTTGATGAAATCATAACTTCTTTTTTATATTTTTGATGGAAAAAATAATGTCTTGATTGACATTGATAACAAATCCATTGGACTCAAAGCTTATATGGAGTTTTTATATCTATAAAAACTATATGAAACATTACATGTCAAAGATTGTTTTATGGTGAGCAAGAATGATATGACTATTTATTGAAAATACTCCATATTATAGCATGGCTATTATAAATGCTTCCAATATAAATCAAATGAATTAGTATTGAATCAAGTTGCATATGGCATTAGCCCAAAATTATAATCTAAATTTATATTAAGAATTTTATATGAGATTGAACAATGCTACAATATCAAAGCAAGCTTTGGTACCCATGACATTACTAAAGTGATTTGACCATAATGTTCCTAATCCAATCAATATCTACAATGTCTATAATGTCTATGATCTCTTTCATATTTTTAAGCCAATATCCACAATGTCCACAACCTTGTTAATTTAATAAGATTGGAAAGACAAGAATTTAGCTGAATGATAAGGCAATATGGGAGAAAATTGGTGGCTTTTATTTTCTTCATGTTTTTCTTGCTGTCTCATTCTAAATTATAATTTTATTTTTATAAATCCTTAGAAATTTGAGTGGCTAAATAATAATAGCCTTTGCGCACTTTGGTAGTAAGTGATACAATTCAATGCTAGTACATGATGAGTTTTAGGATAGAAATCAATCCAAGCTACTAAGTAGAGAGATTTGCACC